TATTATCTGATTTTGTTGCAAAGTTGTAGGGAAAAAAAAAAAAAGAAGAGATTTGGGACATATTTGAATTGCGATACTGTACCAGTTTCAAGGAATTCAGCTGAATCAGTTTTGTCATTTTTTTCTCCAGTGCTTTATGAGCTCATTTATCTTGTCCACAGACTAATGGCTTTAGAATTGAGGCCCACATCATAATGACTGTGGCATTCCTCCAAACCTCTCTGAACCTTGGAGGAGCTGTGGGACAAAACAGTGGACGGCCACCAAATCTCACAATCCCTCTCTGCTTTCCTCTCGCCGTGAAGTCCTTGGAAACTGGCCATAGAAAAAAGGCACTCTACCAGCAGAATCTTGACAGACTGGGAGGAAAGATGTCTCTCCTCTTTTGTTGATTAATATTGAGTCTCTCCAAGGGTGCATGTATTCAAGTCATACCCTAACTATCCATTCCTTATAAATCTTTCTTAAAGTATCTGAGCAAGGTTCTTTAATAATGCCATATTTGCTCGGTGCCATCATTAACTGCTGGTAATGACTCACTTAAAGAATTTGTGCACATTTAGGAGTCTAACCTTGTCATTTAGGTTCTTCTTAACCTATTTCCAGCATATGGAGCCACTGGGCTGAACTGTAAATGACAATTTCCCATACAACTACATTACGTACAGTCATTCATTAAATTAACATACTATACTTTGTTTTAATACTTGCAAAAAAGCTGTGTAACCATGTTACACCCAACACTTGTGTGTGCTTTGATGGGGACATCACAGTGAAGAGATACAGTCCCAGAAGATGAAATACCACACAAGTCCTCGGATCAATCCACATTAACATAACCATAATCGCCTGGATTGATTCCACAGCGAAAAATTATCATACCTGAGGAATGGCTCAATATGTCCAGCACACAAATTGATGACACTAGTGGGAGGAGGTTGGGGGTTTGGGGGGGGGGGACCTCTGAGGTGGATCATGGTCCATAAGAGCTCTGAGCTTGGTAGATCAATAGGGGCTCGCTCGACCTGGCTCAGTGTCCATAATGTGATGTGTACACAATCAATAGCTTCCCCCCCCCCAAGCTGGCAGATGGGCCACTGGTGTGGGCCGGGTTATTTTTCTTCCCCGCAGCATCTTTCCTCCCGCAATGTAAGGAATGATGGGGATGCGGGCAGAGGAGGTGATGCAGGAAGCGAGGTGTAACTGCGCGACCACGTGACACTGTCGCTGATGACAGGATATTTAGAGAGGAGTTAGTGTCCCTATTGACTGCTTCCTGTGGGAGCGAGGAGAGGGTGGGGATTGGCCAGTCTCGCAGTGTCGAGATGTAGTGGTTGAGATGACAGGCGGCTGAAGATGGAAATCAAGAGAGGCTCAAGAGAGCTCTTAACTCAGTGGCTGCTGCGTCTTCTCTCCTCTGGATCAACTTCACACTTCCTGCTCAGGCGTCCCAGAGGATCTAATACTGCCCTTAAAAGAGCTGTGGAACGAGATTGTGAGGGTGGTTGTAGGAGTTTGGGTCTTAAGAACATTCACTCCTATGATACACAAGAGATATTCAGTAAACTGTGATACACAAGAGATATTCAGTAAACTGCTGCCTAAACTTTCGCTGGCACTATATTTTAAGTTCTCTCTCGAGGAATTGAGCCAGCTGGTTTTTGTTTTCGTGAGGACATTTGTCAAGTGATTTATTTTTTCATAATGTGTTTTATAACATGCTGTGGAGTAAAGAACAAAGTATTAAAGAAAATCCTCAGAGTAATGTATAAAAATGAAAGTCATGTGACATTCAATAATTCTCTCTTTTTCCATCTGTCGTCCATCTGATTCTTAATCTCAAAGTGAAGAAGCCTCCAGCACAGTCATACTGAATAGTTTCTGTGGTAGAGTTTGGGCATGGATAGTAAAAGAGTCCGAATAGCCGCGGACAACTAAGACATGTCACACATCGCCTAATCATCTGAAGACATTACCCTCATGTCTAAGCCAATCAGGTCTCATGTCTGACCTGACTCTGGCCTGTCCTTTGTCACAACCTTCACACGGACAGGGAGAGGGAAAGATACAGAAAGATGAGAAAAAAAAAACGTTTACATACAGCATCACCTGTAATGTGTAATTTTCAACTACTTTCAACAACTTTCAACTATTTGAGGCAGTTCTTAAACACAAATCATGTCTGATTTATTACAACTTCCATTTGGCTGTTCATCTTGAAATTCAGCAATTTGTGGAACAGATTTCTTTTCTTTGCTTTTCATAAAAACAAAAGCAATATAACCTTTTCACATATTCCAGTGGCAGTAAAATGTGGCTCTCTAGCTTAGGGGTATGTGTGCAGGCAGCTTGGCCTGCATATTGCATTGATTTCTTTAGTAAAATGAATTAATTACATATTTCTTACTTTTTTATCTCCTATTCAAAGAATAGTTCCACAGATTAGTGTACAGTTCAATGAAATATCTTGTTTCAGTTCCCTTCCTTCACTGGGTCACTTCCAGGTCAACTGACGTGGCTGCACTTGTTTCCGTTTTCTAATCCACCACTCACGGCATTTCATGCTATACTTAATGCCGCCGCACATGCAAATCAGGGGCAAAGAAGACTGAGTCCAAGTAATTGATCTTCTTAACTACTCCCACTCAATTACAGTAGGTTAATGCAAGCCACCTCAGGATTGCTCATCCTAATGCTCAAATGCCATTTGCCGGTGTCCATGAGCAAAGGGTGCATGGGCGTGTAGGACGATGAGATCGCATGGGTGTGGATCAGTCAAAACATTAATCACTTTCTCTCTCTCTGTCTGTGTGTATGTGTATGAGCGTGTTTGTATGCGTGCCCACACATCCATTCAATCAGCTGTTCATAGTGTAGCTTTAAAGGCCTCTCTTGCTCCAAAGTGTGGAACAGTGGAAGATTAACTGTCTCCCCTGAGGCAGTTAATGTGATTCTAAATAAAGAATAGTTGACCTCTAAAGAATGAGTTACCTTTTGCCTGTATTTCTACATATCATTCTTATTCTAGAAGTGTATCTGAAAAATCAGCTGCATGACCTACACAATTTACCGCCAGTAATCCTATAAACTGAACAAAATCATTATCTCATGCTCTAATCTACTCTTCCACCTCTGGATCTGACTGGGTGCCAAGGTGTTCAGCAACAGGGACGCAAGCAAAGATTCCTCTGATCTAGTAACTTGGCGGGGGGAAGCCTCAAATATGGAAGCAATCTGCGTCCTTACTGTGACGCCGCAGTCTTTCAGCTCAGTTCAGTGCCAGGCCTGCCCAGGTTGCCTCACTTAGCTGCTAAGAGGTTTAACCTAATCAGCACCAGCATTCATTTAGTGATAACACTTCCTCTGCTGAGCCGTGACACCCCCTTGTCTCTATTTCCCTCTCTGCCTCTTGTTTTTTTTCTCTGCCTTTCTTACTGAATAGTACGAATTTCCTTTCTATAAAAGTATTTTTCATACACACACTTAGTTTTGTCTATTTCAGGCAATGTCACCAGCCTACAGGCCACTTTTTCCAGTGTGTCAGCACTATCTACAGGCTAATGGATAGACTAAAGTGATGGCTGACCCCTGAGCACTGCAAAATCCTTGAGCTCCATCCTTATATGATATCCGCTAATATATAATATTTGCTAAATTAATGAAGTCACAAAGGAGATACAGTGAGCTTCTCATGACTGCACAGTGTAGATAATCAGTGTGTTCTGCAACTTAATGTGGTTTGTGATTAGTATTCAGGGCGCTTTGTTTGCCTATCTTGACTGAGTCTCTTCAATCTTTGTTCATTAGATTTTAATAGGTTTTTTATTGCTCAGGTCATAGAGGACTTCACACAAAAGAATGCTGATTTTTCCCTTCACTGGATTTCAGCTGATTGTTGAGGAATATGCTGCAGTACTGTGGACTGTAGGACAGGGACTTTTCACCTGTGTGGGCTGAGACACTTGAGTTGGGTTGTGGAAAAAAGACATCAACTAATCCCAGCAGCATTGTAAGAAGTTATATCTGTGGCTCTAGCTGCACGGCAGAGGCAGTAAAATATGGAGAGGTACTATCAAAGAGGAGTAAAGGGACAAATGATGAGTGAGCCATGTAATACTTCTCACTCTGGAGCAGCAAGGCAACACGTATTCATCACATAACATGATGTGACATTCAAACCTCCCCTCATTATATATTGCTCACGCACTCTCATTTTATAAATGTCAAACCTCAGTCAGAACATCTAAGGACAGATTTAATCTACTGAGGTCAATAAATCCTGGTCAAGGTAAAGAGCTACAGTTGAAACGCAGCCTCATGCTGTGCTGACCTCATAGGATTATGCAGGATCTTCCTGCCCATCCCCTTACTGAACAGAAGGCACAGGAAAAAATATCAAAGCATTATATTTCCATTGTAGATTTCACACTGAACAAACAATAGTTTTTAAAACTTTAGTGCAGATACTTTTCTTTGTATACTGAAAATAATAAATTCTATTTTAAGACACAGAGAGGGAATTTTAAACTGTTGCCAACAGGTGGAGCCAAAATCCTTTGAACCTTTTATCTATTGTAGATGAGATCACACATAAACACACTCTTCTACAGTGTTTCCAAAACAGATTTCTGGACCAGTTACTTTCCCTTATTTAGATTTCTCATTTTCAAACACTTTTACATTACCCTGCTTCCTTTCTTTGACTTTTTTTGACTTTACAGTAAATAATTCTGTTTTATATTTTTATATATTTGTTATTTATATTCCTAAAAAGCATATCTCATATCTGCTGCAAACAACAGAGTCACAATATGTTGATTGAGGGTGACAAAGTGATAAATTCACTGTCATGTAAGATGTACTGTATATCTTTAGTCAATATTTTATGTATATCAATTTTGAATATTTATCCTCTTTTTCTGTGTTTTTTTTTTACATGAGTATGGATACATTTTGTTGGTATCCTACTAATGTTATTCCTCTCTGTGCTCTCTTTTCAGGTGCTAGCCATCATATCAATCCTCTTCATCGTCCTCTCCACCATCGCTCTGTCTCTCAACACCTTACCAGAGCTCCAGGTCACAGATGAGTACGGCCAGGCCAATGACAACCCCCAGCTTGCCCACGTGGAGGCCGTGTGTATCGCCTGGTTCACCATGGAGTACCTCCTTCGCTTCCTCTCCTCTCCTAATAAGTGGAAGTTCTTCAAAGGCCCGCTGAATGTCATTGACTTGCTGGCCATCCTGCCCTACTATGTCACCATCTTCCTAACGGAGTCCAATAAGAGCGTGCTACAGTTCCAAAATGTGCGCCGAGTGGTGCAGATTTTCAGGATCATGAGAATATTGAGGATCCTGAAGTTAGCCAGGCACTCCACAGGGCTCCAGTCTTTAGGGTTTACTCTGAGAAGGAGCTACAATGAGCTGGGGCTGCTTATTCTATTTCTTGCCATGGGCATCATGATATTTTCCAGCTTAGTGTTCTTTGCTGAGAAAGATGAAGATGCCACCAAATTCACTAGTATCCCTGCCTCATTCTGGTGGGCAACCATTACAATGACCACAGTGGGCTATGGTGACATTTACCCACAGACTTTGCTCGGAAAGATTGTGGGTGGGCTCTGTTGCATTGCAGGAGTGCTGGTGATTGCCCTACCCATCCCTATTATTGTCAACAACTTCTCTGAGTTCTATAAGGAGCAGAAGAGGCAGGAGAAGGCCATCAAGAGGAGGGAGGCACTGGAGAGAGCCAAGAGGAACGGCAGCATTGTGTCAATGAACCTAAAAGATGCCTTTGCCCGCAGCATGGAACTGGTGGATGTGGTGGTAGAGAAAGGGGAGGACAAAACCTCCCTTGACAACCACCTGTCACCTAGCCGCTGGAGTGGGGCTAGGGGCTCTGAAATCAACCTAAGGTCCCCTGATAAAAGAAACACAGAGTCTCTGGCGCCGAGCTCCCCTCATCGTATAACCATCACCACCACTGGAAGTCCACAGCGGACAAACAGGACCCCTCAGCACCTTAACGTTCAGAAACTGGAGGAGATGTACAACCAGATGACCAAGTCACAGTCCTTCACTAACCTCAACACTACAAGCTCCATGAGCACTCTGAGCACAACTATGACCACCCCTGCCTCACCGAAGAAATCTCACAGCCCTGAATTCACATTAAAAGAGGAGGTGGAGCTGGAGATGAAGGAAGTCCAACCATCTTCACCAGATAACTTTGCCAGCTGCTCAGCTGACCTTAGAAAACAGGGCTCCAACTCAGGTGAGGAAAATGCTGGGTCTTGTCAAATCAGACACCCCAAGGCACCACCATCTCTTGATCTTAGCCAAATGAGGGCCGGCAATGACCAGAGCTCTCCTGGCATCAAACTCAAAGATTGCCTCTATGAATCCGTCAACCCAGGTGACGGATCAGAGCTCCATATAGAAGAAGGGGAGACCTTTAACAATGCTGTGGAGAATATCCAGAGGTCTCTAAGAGGGAATAACCCTCTTAAAATAAAGGGGTTAAAGGTCAACTTCAACAAAACCTCTGCTGAAGGCCCGCTAACACCGCCCAGCACTACCTCTCCTGGAGACATCAGCTCCAGCATCCTGGAAGACGAGTCTCCGGAGGGAGAGACGTCACCGCTCATGCGAAGTTCAGATGAGCTGCTCCCAATCTCAGAGGAAGAGACCTGCCCCTTGTCCCCTGAGAGGCTGGTGGTAGACACCCCACCCGGTGATGAAGATCAATCCACAGAGAACCACGAGGAGAAGCATCTGATGGAGGTGGCAGGTGCTGCAGTTGCGCCCTTGTCGCCCAAGACAGCAGCACAAAATTGCACCCAAGGTGTGGTTGGGGCAGGCGAGGAGGTCAAGGCTGACAGCAACCAAAGTGGACACAAAGTAGAGAACCACATGTTTACATCTGATATCCACCTGATACCCGGGGATGGCAGTCTTTCTCCGACCTGTGAAACCAGCATGTGACTGTAAGGGAAGCTTTTAGGGACAATAGACCCACTGCAACCTCAGCCTGGTGTGTGGGAGAGCAGCAAGAAAGGACAAGGGTGCAGTTGTAGTGAAAGATATTTTTGCATGGCATGACAAGTCCCTTTTACTTGTGTTGTTGTGTATTGCTGAAAAAGAAACTGCAGTATTTCGTGCAGATTCAAGAATGACTTCGGGACTAACAGTGGGCTCAAAGAGGAGGCTCTTTAAAAACAGAGGGAATTCATCAACTAATGTAGACATTTTGGTCCCCCCAATGTACATAATGACAGTCTCCTTTTTCTAGCAAAAGAAGGAAATGCACAGAGGGACTTATCTGTAAAAAGCATGCATTTAAAAAAGACAGATATTTTACGGTGCTTAGTTTGCTGAAAGCGCTCCACTGTAAATACTAGGACATCTAAGGCAATGACAATGCACAGGACGGCAAAGGAAAACTGTCACTGAAGGTACAAATATTTGTAATGTGAAAAGGGAAGGGAGGAGGGGTTGAATTGAGAGCCCTCAGCTCAGACCGGTGTTGCATCGTAGCGACCTATAAAAAAAAAACATATCATTACCTTTTGTGGAAATGCAAAGTGTTCCCATGACGACCCTGTAATGTTTTTTCGTGTGAAAAATGGTGTATGAAACTGTAACGTTGACATTATTGCTTTTGGTTTTCATAATGACTGTTGAACTTTCAGTTTGAGCATCCGATATTCAGTCTTTGAATTAATGAACGTGGGCAAAGAAGGACAAAAACACCCTGATTCCTCTGAAGCGTATACACCTGTAGTTGCCAAATACATATCTATGTAACCAGTAAGGACAGAAACTATCAGATACTACCATTATTGAAAATATTTATCATGTGGTTTCAGATGTTGGGACAAGGTTTAAGATGTTTCACTCCTTGTTCGTTCTTTTGACTCCGTCCAAATCACAGAGATAAATCTTATTTACTCACTCAGACATCAGATATATACATCTAAAAGTAGTTTTAAGAATAAAATAAAATAAGTAGGTCTAGATTGGTTGTAGAAAAATTCTACAGTAGGTAAATGAGATTCCATAAAACAAAGTTAAGAGTATTTATGAATTCAGCACAGTAGACCTGGTCATTAATACACATACATGCTTTGAACTATAATTATCTATTTTGGCAGTTTAAAAGGGATAAACTACCACAAAAAAAAAAGACAATATTCCTTGTGATATCAATGGACCAAATCAAGCACACAAGACAAGCTTTCATCTATCTCAGCTGCATAATAACATATATGGTAATAACATGTATTATGAAAGTAGTTATTTTTTTTGTTTTCCTTACGGTTTGTTTACCTGCATTGTGTTCATTGTCCAATCCTCAGCGCCCTGATGTCGTTGTTGACACTTGTTCCATACTACTGCAAGTTTATCCGATCCTGCTGACAAGTTTAAGGCATCTTTTGTTTTTGTTTTTTTTTCGTTGGGGTTTTTTTTTTTTTTTTTTGTATATCCGTAGTGTCTTGGACTGTAATTTATTGTGTTTTATTGTGAACAAAACTATTTTCAGTCAAACTTAAACCCAAAGGAGTTTTTTTTTCTCTCTCTCTCTCTCTCTCTCTCTCTCTCGTCTTCTGTCTCGTTTTTGTTTTACACTGACTGAAAATATCTGTTGTATGTTGCCTTTGATTCCGATTTTATTGCTGGAATATTTGTTTATTGTTTCAGCATGACATTTGGCTGAGTGTGTTCGTAGTGTGTTTGCGAAAGCCACACAAACCAGAATGGTACTGACAGGAAAGTATGTGGGTTTTTTGTTTTATCGTTTTCTTTCTTTTTTCTTATAATTATTATTATTATTATTATTATTATTATTATTATTATTATTATTATTATTATTATCATGTTTTGTTGTTCTCACAGAGAGGTGTGGAATGTGCAATACCGCATACTGCAATCTATGCAGGCCAAGAATTGTGGCACTTTATTTTCTGTCTATGGGAATTTGTAAGTGTACAGGCAGAAATTACTTGTATTTTTCAAATGTTATATCTTTAATATGAGGCAAAACAGTATTACAACTACCAGAATCTCACAAACAATGCAAATGAGAATTTGACTTTTACTTTTTCATATTATACGGCTGGCATAACGCTGTCAAGCAGCTGAATGCCAGGTATCAATGGACCTCATATTTGATTATCTGTGGGGATAGGGATCCAAATTGACCACTTTGGGCCTTTTATATTGCTGTTAGATTCACACAGAAATCTAACAAATGTCTGTGGAAGATATTAAGATAATCTAATTTCAATGGCCACACACAAAGGATTTTATGTTTTTTGTGAATTAACGTTGAGAATGATTCTATTTTTTCTAAAAACCAAAATGGAGCACGACCACAATTTCCTGCCATATGGTGGTTGAAATGATGCGTGCCTTTTCATAACACCGCTGTTTATGAGAAGGTAGCAAGTCATTTTGCTTTGTTCATATAGCACTGTACAGAAAATTCTAATTTTATAGGAGAAATCAGGTCTTTATGTAATAGATACACGTAATGTTATTGAGTTCTCAGGTTTTCTATAACTCTCTGATGTTCCGATTGGATAGATTTTCTGTTTTTTCTTTAACAGTTCATGTCAACTAGTTACTTCTGTACTTTTTGAAAAGTGATGTTGTCAAATCCATATTGATGTCTTGGCTCCCGGAGTAAGGAGCGGCAATATTTCTCCCTCCTCCTGGGTAATCTGTGTACCACATTCAGTATCCACCCCCATCAGTCTTCAGTGAGGCAGGAAGGAGCACAAACAAACGAGAAGCTGGACCGTTCAACTTTGAGAGCTGAGAAATAGAAAGAAGGAGCGTGATAGGTCTAACTGACAACAGAAAAGGCAGGAAGAGATCCCTACTGTCACTGAACTGATCCATCCGATGATTATTTCCCATGCTGACACCACTGAATGCTCCAGCCCCTACAGCTTCAGAGGCTCTTACCCTATGGCATGCCCTCAGGAACAGTGATCAATGGGTGAAAGGAAGGTTAGGATAAGGGAATGCTGTGAAAGTAAAGAGGAGGAAAGTAAACGAGTACTCCCAAATGGTTACATCCTATCAGTTGTGGTCCATATTTCCTTTTGTCTGTGTACATACTGTACGCCCAGATCGACATAATATGACTCAGTAAATAGAGGTTCGTGTGAGAGCTCGTGGAAATGATCAATTCCTAATTGGAAACTCAGATTCTTTGGTACTCTCCAAAGTAAAAATGTGGGGTCAGTGGTGGATGTTGATGTTTGGGGTTTTCATTTGTCTTTTTTTCTTTATCAAGGAAGGTTAGATGATAACCTTCTTGTTAAAATTCTTTTTTTTTCCTGTACCTGTATGTTCAAAGTTTTTTTCATGGTTTGTAGTAATCATGTCTCCGTGTTAGCCTCGAGTAATCCTTCATTTTGACAGGTAGGGTAGAGAAACAAGGGATTTGGATTGATCAGCTATATCCCCTTGGGATGATGTTTGTGTGGATACTGAAATTAATTCTGTGAGCTGACAGCAAAAGGACCGTGTTCTGTCTTACTGTCTCACAATGGCATTATCATCTGTGATATTGTACAGAGTGGAAAGGTTGTGTCTTTATTTTCTCTGAGAGAATGGGTATTGTCCGTGTCACTCATGCGTGCTTACCAAACCTTGCTCCCTAAAATGCATAAAGCTATATTGTTTCTTCTTATGTCTCTGTGTATACTGCCTCTTACATTTTTTTTCTCTGTTCAGCTTTGGAGAGCATTATCATTAGACACATTCTGAGCTACAGACTGTTTCTGTACAAAGCAACATCTTTGTATGCATGTAGTAGTCCAAACAATTATGTGACCACAGAACACTTTGTTATGGTACATGTATGTCAACATTTCTGTAGAGCATTGTTCCCCATTACGTCTATTAGCATATGCAGAATAACAAATAAATGTGTATATAACTCATGCGCGTGTGTGTGTGTCTGGTGTTCTCTGCTCTACAGATGTTTGTAGGCCAAATATTCTGTATATTAAGGGTAATTTCATAATATGGTACAAATACATGAGTTTATGAATCATCTCTACATAACATTAATCAAAACTGATATTGCATTTGCCACAAGAAGGTATGCAAAGTTGTTTTTTTATATCCAAAAGTAGCCAATAACCTGGCATGACTGGCTGATAAATGATTTATCACTGGAGGGAAATGTATTCCATTCCATTAGATGCAATTAATGGATCTCCACTTTTCTGTTGTCAAGTGCCGCCAAAGAGTGATACTGAACATAAACAGCTCTCTCAAACCTCAAAACCAGAGAATCTTGCATGTAATGTCTTTAGTATGAAGAAACCAAAGGAACTCATACACTCTTAACAGAAAATAAAGAGGTTAATAATGCATTATACTAATGTAATGGTCCACTGTATCACATGGGACTATAAAGCCATACAATATGTAATGGGTGTTGCATTTTGGGACCATGGCATGGTAAACAACTTAATCTCGTTTTTATGGACTGGTAGCCTGGAAAAAAAACTTTAGGACTCCTAATGAACCACTATTAGGAGACAGTGACATATCCGTCACTGTAATGCAATTTAATATAAAAACCCGACTAAACTCTATGGACAATCCAGTTCTATTGGATTGCGTTGCACTTCATAGGGGCTTCATTTTCATTTATTTATTTATTTATTAATTTAGGTCACTGTTATATCACGTTTTTTGTATTTGTATATACTCCTAAACGCCAGAGGGCGGTGTAGTCTGATCATGCGACGCCAAACGAGCGTAAAACACTAAAGCGCGCGGAAATCGAACTAATTCCAAAGAAGAAGAAGAAATGAAGACCTAAAACTGTAAATACAAACATGGACCCCGAAGTTAACAATAAAACTGCTATAGATGCAGATAAAATCGATCAAAGTATCAGTTTTCCCCATGTTACAGCTGTCGCTTCAGGATGGATGCTGGACTTCATGTTTGTAAGTCTGTGTCGGCGTTTCAAGGAAGACAAGTTTGATGAATTCAATCAAACGCTTTCGGTTTTCGAGGGTAAGTTATTTACGGCTAACAAAACATTAGCTAGTTATCTGACATTAACTGCCGAAACAGTTACCTTTATTTAGTGTTAATAATTCATGAGCACAAAGGAACAAAACAGACGTCACGCGTCGTAAAATATAATATTAATGGTAAATTATATTAACAATTTAACGTCGTTGACAAACTGATACATTAATGTGAGGACAGAGCCACCATGTTCACGACTCTGTAAAGTCTCCTAAGTCCTAGTGGCTAACACTTTTGTGAATATCTTTTTTTGTTTTTTATGTTTTTTTCAGCCGTGTCTCAGAATCTGTCTCTTAAAGGAGACTGCTATGATGAGAAAACCATGATAACCGCCTTCCTCGCGAGAGTCATGCATGGAAAACAGCTGGGTAAGTTGTTGCAGTCAGAACCAGAATCAGATCAGGTTTTTTTTCCGAACATCTTTTACACGTTATATGTAAAAATTGTTTTGGCATTGCTCCTTATGACAGAAAGTTAGCACTACAGGAAGTTCAAACCGCACAGCTTAAAGTAACAAGGTGCTTCTGTCTGAGGATGTTTAACAATTGAAACTGATCCCAGCAGAGATTTAAGCTCATGTAATAATGCATAGAAAATAGAGGAGATCAATATTCTGATGACCTACTTTGTTATAATATCTGTAATATAAGACAATTAATTTCTGGCAAAAATTTGTGGTTTTAAAATATATCCTTCACTTCTTTAATACAAATGTATTCAAATGTTACTGTGTAACACTTTCCTCCAGATATCATGTTTGAGGAGGACGAATGTGTGATGCCTCTGATGTCTGCTGCCAAAATATGGTTACAGCTAGAAGATACTGTGGAAGATGAAAGTGTGTTCAAAAACATTAAGATTCTTTTGCTTGTCCAGGTAATACACACCCCTTCTATACTGTAGTATTTTTTTTCTACTGTAGTCTGATAATTGGAACACAACACCAGCAAAATCTGATCTGAGAATATCTAGACATGGTTGTTAATGTGTCCTAATTGTTATTGAGTGATTTAATTGTAATTCTGGTGAAAGCTCAAGTTCAATGCTTCGTCCTCATTTTGAGTGTTAAGTCTTTTAATGCGTTTGCCCTGTTTCTAGTCTGTGGCTGTGTGCTTGGAGAAAGGCAAAAGATCTTCTGCCTCCTCTGCCCTCAAGTGGTTGCAGAGTAACCATGACCTCCCACAGGTCTGTGGGTCTATTGTCTCTTTTCTATATTTGGTGGCCAAGGAGGATTGTGCATAACAACTAATATTTTTTCAACAGAACGTGGGACTCAAGCTGACAACAATAGTGACACAGAGGGACACTTACCACCCATTCCTCATGAGCTTCAGCTTCAGCCGCCTGCTGGAGACAATCCACTTGTTCTTGGATGCTTACCTGGAGAAGAATCCCTCTGACTTCCTTCTAAAGGTAAAGGACCTGACCCACTATGTTGTAGATCACAGCCTGTGTCAAAATTACACAAGGTCACTCCTTCCATGTTCAGTCTAGTAAATAAAATGTATAGACCAGCTTTACAATGGGTCCAGTTGGCCTCTGGAGCTAAAGATGTCTGTCTACATCACAGATACCTTTTATCAAAGTATCTGTGAGTCTTGAGAAGTCTTCAAGTGCACTGAATTTAGATTCCTCAAAAAAGGCCTTAGAGGGTTTTAAAAAGTCTTATTTCATTTGCAGAGGTTTTGAATATTTTTTATTGCCTGCCATGAACAGTAACACCAGTTAGAACTTTCAGTTATAAGGAGTTAATTATTTATTAATTATTGTTAATTATTATTGTTATAATTGTTAAGGTTTTGCTACAGCACTGGAAGACAGATCGGCTGATTTTAATAAGATCTGGTCCCCTTTTGTGCCCCCCTCCCTTGTAGTCATTCTGTGTCTCTTTCTCTCTCTTTGTCTTTGTTGTTGTCCGGGTCTGTTTTTAAGTCTTTCGCATCTCTGTGTCTCTTTAGGATAGTTTTCTCTGTCTTTGTAGTCATTTAAATGAGCGCTGTGTCTTTCAAACGAGGTATACAGTCAAAGTAACAGTCACTGAGGCCCTGTTCAGACCTGTATGTTTTAGCCTGACCCATATGACTTTGTAAAATTTATTGAATTGCATTCTCAGTCTTTAAAACACTTAATTCTACTTTCTTGAACATTGCAGAAACCCTGTTTACATATCTAAAAACTGTAAAGGTACTTATAAAGATACATTTTGTTGTAATCATATTTCAGGTTCATTGGATTGCAAGGCAAAGCACAAGTTCTACACTGTTACTTGGAAAATAACAATTTATACAGTTGGCCCTGCAGGAATAATCCCAGTGTAAAATTAAGGATCAAGCTTTGTACGACTGAAAAATAGGGGAAAAAATAATTGACGAAGAAATTATTTTGTCTTGGTGCAAGATATCGACTAAGAGGATTACCCCCCTCCTTATTCACAGATGAAAGTGATATGTGGAGTGCTGCTACATTTGATGCTTGAAATCTCATCTGACCAGAATTCACACCAACACATCATAAATGAATCTAGACTGTATGACATCTGAACAAATGTGAAAAGAATTCTCAGGTTTTGGCTGCTCAGCTGTTTATGAGGTGGGGATTTTACACATGATTTACTTGGCAAATACATAAGGTGTCCAATGTTTTGCTCCAGCTAACAGCAAGGATTAACAAATAAATTTGAACAGCCAATAAATTCTCTTGGTCTTGTGTTCAAACCCGATCAGCTATGCTCTTGTTCTTTTGAGTTATGGCGCCCTGTGAAACTGAGGGTTTTGATGTGAACTTATCAGTCAGAGTTAATTGACAATTTGTCATGAAATTAGTTGGAAGGGCAAACTGCTACGTTCAGCAGAACCCTCCTCAGGGTCCAGTTATTCATGAAAGTTTTAGGAATGATTTACATAGAGGCCGTTGACCAAGGTTAAACTTAGAAGTCTATTATAAAACAGGCCTCATTAGTTTGACTTTCATATCAGAGCAATAATCGCACCTGAAAGTTAATTGTTTTTGAAAATTATGAAAAAGTAACATAATTTATAGAAATATAATGCAGAAACATAATTAATGTTTGGCTGTGTGTTCGTGTCTACCTCCCCGTCTGTCAGGCGGCCACTAAGATAGTCCTGTCATCACAGACCACTGAGGGTTTGAAGGACGCGGTGACGCAGGAGAGCTCTCTCTCAGAAAAGACCAACGAATCAACAGAGAAGAAACCAAAGTAGGAATACCAGTTGTATTCATTGAAATTTACGCATCTACTTCTTAGGGCTGGGCAATTATCCGAAAAAGTATCAAATGTAGATTAATTTGGTTAATGCTTTTCCCCAATCTGTGCATTCCTGAACTGTCCCCTTAAAAATGTGGTGATGCTAACCCCAGTAATAGGTTTTAGTTTTAGCCTGGAATTCATTTCTTCAGACTTTTTGAACCCCTGAAACGTAGACTTTTGGAAACGCTACTCGACCCATTTTAGTTTGAAAACTCCGGGGTTGCGCTGTAGTCTGGACGGGCAGAAACAGAAACTTTTGGAAACATTGACGCAGACCCCTGCCTCGCCTACTGATTGGGTCTTATCAGTCATGACTACCAGACAGTGATCAATGCAACATGGACAATGGCCGAAGGTAAAAACCACCAATTTGTTTAATCACCTGGAACACAGTGGTTCACAATGTGGGAGCTGTGGCTCAGGAGATAGAGCGGGTCGTCCACTAATTAGAAGGTCGGTGGTGGCTGTTCCATCAGTGTATGACTGTGCGTGTGAATGTGAATGTGAATGGCAAGTAAGCGCTTTGAGTGGTCAGTAAGACTTGAAAAGCCCTATATAAATGCATTTACCATTCAATGGTCACATTGCCAAATATGAAGAGTGCGTCGGTCAAAAAAAAAAAAAGGGAGATCTGCAAACGGCAAAGTAATTGTTCATTAACCGTAATTGAGGTAAAAGTTTAACCAATAATAAATGTGATATTGATTTGAAGTCATATTGCCCAGCCCTAATACATTTACACTTATGTCCTACCAGGAAAAAGGAGAATGATGTATGTTTGATGTCAGTAGAAATAAGTGTTTTAAATGTGTCTTTTGAATAAGAAATATCATTTTGGCTTTTGCTGCCTCTGTTTGGCTACATGTAGAAATTTAGCAGGCTGTCCTAAACACTAAATAAAATGCATTATGTGGGTAACAAATAATATTTCCACACTATTGCACTTCCACAGAGCAAAACGGAAACTACTCTCAACTAAAATTACTGATGTATGGAAACCTGATTCATGCAAGAAGGCTTTTGTCTCTCTCAGAAGACTCCAAAAGAGTGGTGAGTTTTATTTTTCCTCTGCCTTTGATAGTTCTGTTCAGAACAAAATGTATTTTTGCTTTAATCTGATGTTAAAGTACTTTCATTTTCTATAAAACGTACGAATACATGTACTGCATGTATTTCACACGTTTCTGAGAATCAAAATATCAAACCTCCCATCATCAGAGATATCTCAGATAATATGTGAGAAGTCAAACAGCACCACAGAGATCCGAAAAAAAAGAAAACCACCTCAGGTGAGTTGAATCACAAAGCTCGTTCAATACTGTGTTCAGTAAATTAATCCCAAATCAAGTTAAAGTTAGCAATCATCACTCAATGCTACCTTTCATTTGGGGCATATTAAGAAAATAATTATGTTTTACTTCGTTTAGAAATGGACACCCGAGCTGGACAAATACCTGAAGGCCGGGGTTAAACATCACGGCACAGGGAAGTGGTCTCTGATATTACTGGATTATGACTTTGGAGGACGCACTGGAACCATGCTCAAAGATCGCTGGAGAGTCTTAATGAGGGCACACGAAGTCGGCTGACTTGTGTAATTAAGTGGTTCGCCTGTAAATAAAATCAGTGACTTATCTCATCCATTTATTTTAATTACTGAAAATGTTGCTGCCTTTTTATGCTTTTCAGCTGCTTTTTGCACCAAGAAGATACACCACTAGAGGGCACTCAACACAGAACAATGAACTGGGCTAGTTGCATTGGTTTCTATAGTAGATACATTTGATTTGTGATATACCAAATCTTTAACTGTGCCATTCTAACTTAAACAATGTAGCAGTTCGCTTTGAATAAAACATGGTATTAGCTAGTTCACTCACTGAACCGTTTTCAGCCAACACAGAGCATGTACTCTCTATGATAGGGATTGTTTCATTGTATCTTTTTTTCCCCCCACTTTTTTTAAAGAAATGCATAGTGAAGTCACAAATGTAAAATATATTTTTTTATAATTTTAAGTTAAATAGCTTTGACAGAAAATTGTTACAAAAATGAAAACAACAGTGGCTTGTTACAATAAAAATTTACAAAATCAGCTGATATGTGCTTAATGTGTACTGGGAAAATGTGAAATACTGGACTACAGTGTCTTTACACAGTATACTACAAAATTACACACGGCAATGGAAATGTGTATAGTGATTTGAAAATGCCTTTATATCAAGGTGTAGCATATTTATTAGAGGCATACCGGTAATTGCAGTGCACCGCCATCAAGTGTTAAGTCTCTTCTTAGTATTGGAAGCATCTGATCCAAACGCACACTGTGTCAGCTCCTCAGAGCGAGGGGGAGCTTGGCTGTGAAATGTTTTTGTGGACACCAGATCAGAGCGCAGTTCTGTGGTGTTTTGTTTGGATCAGATGAAGACGAAGCTGTGCTGAGGTGGACAGTTGCACCGCTGGGTTTTCTGGATCTTCTTCCACGTCCCACGGCACTGAGGGTTCCCCACCGCCTGCCAGTGGAGCAACGCTTCTCTGCAACACAACCCCAAATGTTTATGGTTTTCAGAGACTGTTACACTCATATCTAGGCGGTACAAGATGTTGACACTAATTCACTGATTTACTGCTTCTCTCAAGGGCGCATTCAGTGTAATTGTAGGCGGCTGGAACTCGTACTGCTTGGATTTATCCTGGTTGAGGTGATTGCTTCATGAATTGGTTGAGAGTCAAATATTTTCTACATATATTCCACCTTAAACAACATTGCTGAAAGAACACACATGTAAAGGTTCATAGCTTCATACTTGTCTGATTCCTGACCGTCTCCTTGGCAGCTGCCACTATTGTTTCGCATGGCGGGAGGCTCACATGCCACACACACTTTGAAGCCTTCTGTTATGTAGCGCATCCAGTGTGTGTGTGGCCGGTTCTGCACAGTACAGTGGGGTGTCCGGGATTCCAGTGTGAATTCCACACAGAACCTGAGGGTAGTATGGGCAGGGTCACACAGTCATTCCTTGGGTATTTGAACCAATGAATCAAGGTGGAGGACAAAAGCAATGCACACAATAGGATGACATCATCAACCGCCTTGTGATATCATTTGTTATTCTGGTGCACTTTACGAAAGGAGGCGGTAACCCCTAATAATTTCATGATTCGGTGTAGCATGAAATGGAAATAATAATTCAGCCAACAGATATTCTGAGCTGCTCACAATGCTTCACCACCTGTCATCCAAACCTTTTGTGCATCTGCTTTTCATGTGACAGTCCTCATTAAAGTCTGAGTATTTAATTTCAAAGGGTTGTGGGCAGTCTCTCTGCACTGCTTTATTTAAGGGTCTGTGGACAGAAGGACAGGTGAGCAAACACCTACTGGTGGCTGACGCAGATGGAGGAAAAGTTGGGCTGTTATCTCTTTTTTTTTTTTTTGTCAGTGGTTTAGGTTACACAGCATTACGCTAAAATGAAATTAACCCCTGGCAGCATGCATGAACTTTTCAACTCTTGAATTTAAAGATACCTGTGGTCATGAGCAGTTTCAGAATACTAAAGGAGGCGTTATGGAAGCATGATTATGAAACCTACCCAGGGTCCAGGGGGTTTCCATAGCTGTCATGCTTGGGCCTTCCTTTGCCAAACTCCATGCTGGTGATGAATGCAGGACCTGACAAGAGAATTTCAGTGTTTCAATTAGTCCAAGTTTAGCCTTTTTAAAATGTAAGGTTACAAAATTTGCTTAACTTTACAATCAAGCTAAGCTGGAGAAAAAATGCATATAAAATGAGATTTATAAAAAAAAAAAACAGTGAGATGCAACAGCAGATAAAGTAAAAACAGGGAATGTGTGTGTGTTTTCATACCAGAGTTGAGTCCACAGTGGTTACCCTGGTGGTCTCTGTACTCCCTGCAGCCGGCATGTTGCTCCAGGCTGGGACAGGGCTCTCCGCTGTTACTAGGCTGCTGCTCTACGTGACGGACACGGACTCGTATTGAGGGCTGGCAGGGCTTAGCACAGCCGCTCCAAAAGCTCCAGTCGCTCACAGCACAGTCCTGAGCTGGATGTTGGAGGGTTGGAGGTGGTGGGGGGGGGGGATTATTACAGGATATCCTCTGGTAGCAAACAATCAAACTGCCATGAAACTCAGAGACGTTGGACCCAACACTAACTGAATCCTTCAGATCAAAGTGGGCAGTAGAAGCTTGCAGCAGTCTTACAGGCTGAACAATTATGAATTTCCAGTGAAACGGTGTAATTAAGCTAAGTATCCAGAAAATAACTTCAGATCAATGAAGCATTGATTGTGACTTGCAGAATTAGTGTTTCCTGCTCCACTACAAGTGGGTTGAGAGCCAAGAGAGCAACCCACTAAATCACACAAAGTCCTGTGATTTTTCTTTTCACCCGAACTCTGTGCTTGATGATCAAGCTTTGATGTATTAAGCATGCAGATTTAGTGACTGCCGGCCTAACACATTAGATCTGCTCGGCTTGTTTGACTGGAACTGTAATTGCTGATTGACAGAATCACATTCTTCAAATATTTGGACTAATTCCGTTATGTGGGCCAGTCCACTAAAATGAGGTTAGACACAAAGCTTCCTGGGTTGTTTTTTTGATGAAGCAGGCATTGTATTAGGATAATTTAGAAGGCAAAGAATACAGAACAAACCACACGTGAGAGTTTGACAGGACTATGAAGATAAATATGCATAAACAATCTCACATGTATGGAAAATTTTGGAAGGTATTCACCCAGCCAGCTCTGTGTCATCAGATAACAGCTTGTGATAAGTAGCCCAGTAACGGCCTGGTACTGAAAATAATCTTTCTTCTCCAACTATCTTTATCTTCTGTCTGATAAACAGATTCAAATCTATCTATCTCTAATCTATCTTTAGCCAGAGTTCAGGTTATCTCATACAACAGGGTTATCTCGCACCAGTATCATAAAGTTGAGGTGTGTGCAAAAAATGTAAACAGTACCTCCACTTGTGATTCATTCACACTCAGAGCAGCCCCGCCAGACCCCCCCCAGCCCCCCCCCCCCCCCCCCCCCCCACTCATCCCTCACCTGGACACTCTTTGAAGTAGTCGAAGCAGCAGTCCTTGGTCCTGACGCAGCCCTTGTCGCAGTAGCATGTCCCATACACACGGTCCATCCTCCAGTCAGTGGTCAAACAGCTCAAGTCTCTGCTCTGGCAGCATTTACCTGAACAACCGCCAGACACCAAGTGGTTCTTTCCCAGCGTGGAAACCACCAGCAACAAACAGGCAAACTCCACAGAGGATCCCATCATGAGGGGGTCGGGCCAGAAGTCCACCCCTGAAAGTAAAACACTAGTCTCTTGGTTTCCCCCAGTATGTGATGAAACGCAATTCCCCTCTTCCAAATATGTTTATTCCCACTCTCGTCCTACTCTACCTCTGTCATGCTCATGACCGTGAGAGGGAGAGGTTGGAATACCAGCCCAGCCCAACTCAGCCAAGACTGTGCTCTGGCACAGGAGCCCTTGTGACCTGGAATTCCTGTGTCCAGCCCCTCTGTTTCCCTCCAGAAGCAGCTCTGCAGAGCAACCTACAGAACAGAACACCCCATTCCGGCTCTGATCACAGTCCAGTGTTTCTCATGTTGTGTGTGCGCCTTCTCCCTCAGAGCTCTCTATCCCCGTTCCCAGCTGAGCACCTCCCTCCAGTCGATCACACACACGGGAGGAGACAATAAGGACAAGGGAGGGGTAAGCTGGGGTGAGTTTGGTGAGTGTTTTCCCTCCTGCTTCTGTTCTCTTTCTCTTTCTCTTTCTTCTTTACCTCATTCCCACCTGTCTCATTCTTGTTTATCTTTTTCTTTCTTATACCATCTCTGTGCAGAATCACTGTGACCCTGGTGTCCGTCTTGCCCATGCCGCTCTCGGCCACCCCAGACCTCGGGTCCCAAAAGAAAGGGAGGAATGTGAGCAGTTGGCAGGGCTCCAGTCAATTGTGCCAGGGGGCCCGCTGAGCATTGTAAAGCCACCCTTTGGTTCTCACCTCTCTCACTTTTTCCCTTTCTCTTTCAGGTTACTGTAATCTAGCAAAAATCTGAACACTTCAGGCACAATTTTCTCTCTATCATTCTGCACATTTATTGCATTTTTAGATATAAAGGAATTGTTCACCATTGTGGGGAGTGCACTTATTTGCTTTCTTACAGAAAGTTGGAAGAGAATATGGATACCACTCTCATATCTGACATTAAATATGAAGTTAGAGTTAGCAGCTGGTTAGCTTAGCTTAGGTTAGCATAAAGACTGAAAGCATGGTCCAACGGCTAGCCTGATTCTCTTCCAAGGTGACAAAACCCTAACTGTAGCCCTTCCTAGCACCACTCAACCAATTTCATACATTATATCTGGTTAATGTAATACAAAAACAAACATATGGTGTAAAAACACAAACTGTTGCTTTGTGACCTCTCGGTGACAACAAGCATCCAGGAAGTCACTGCACATGGCCAGGAAATAGTCTGGCAGATAATGGCTGTAAAACTATAATCTGACATTTTTACAATTCTGTTTTTAACACACAAATTATCAGTAACATGTTTGTTAGCTTTGCAGGTGTGAGTAGGCAAAGTTTTACCTTTGGACAAAGTTTGACTGGCTACTTCACCATTTTCTTTCTTTGCCCTAAACTAAGCTAAGCTAAGACAACCTAAACTAAGCTAAGCTACTTAACTCCTGCTGTAGCTTAATATTTAGTGTACAGCTCCGCAGGACATGTCTGTAGTAGATGACAGATTCATTTCATATACTGTAATTGAGCAGAGGCCTGTCTGTGACAGTCTTAGTGAGGCTAATTGTTTTATCTCATTAGGGTGCGGCTTGTCACTGACAGTTGATTGATTAACAGGACTGTTAGATTTGCTGCTGTGAGTGAAAGACATGCTTTAAGGAGGAAGCAATTTTGTGAAGATGTCAGTGTGTAAAAGCTAATAACATCACATGCTACTTTTTGTACTCTTAAATTCATGTGGTGCAGAAATAAATTGTCCTAATCACTGCAGCACCTAATGTTCAGCGCTGATGAAAAGTCATGCTTATGAATTATAGGCAAAATTAGACATAATTATGCAGGGCCCCAGCAAAAAGCATTTTTCACTGTTGTGTTTGCTCAAGGTGCCTGAATGTCTGAGGATGCTGTGAACTCCAAAGAGGGTCAGCTTTTATTTGAGCAGTTCCTCTTCCATCTCATGGGAAACAAATGAGGCCTCTGCAGGGAGCAGTGGTGGGGAATGAGGCCTCCCCATGCCTACTGCTATAGAAGGAACAGATATTTGTAATAACCTAGATACTTTGCCTCTGCTGTCTTGAAAAACAAGCTTGCAGAGAGCAGAAGGGGGGGGGGGGGCTCTTTGGGTTCTTTGATTCTTCTTCTTGCTATGGAGCAGGTAGGTCAAGCGACAGTAATAGCCTTCATCTTCACCATAATCATCAGCAACGGCATCACTGAAGAGCATGTGTCTGAATCAGTGTATATTAAACTTTGAGGAGGTTGAACCCAGACTGACCTCAGGAGAAAAAGCTCCTGCACTCTGTTTTGGTAATGTTCATTTACAAATATTGAATATGACGTATTTTTAAATGATAAATAATCCTAACCATACTTTTCTTTAAAAAATTAACCTATTCTCAATCATTTTGAGCTATCTGTGTCCCAAATTACAGATATCTCATTTTGTAAATTCGAGTCTAGTAATACCTTATTTTGCGTAAAACAGAGGGTGCCCCGGAAAGGTCACTAAGGCTAACACACACATATTTAGTGCATTTTCAGTGCTGATTTGATCTGTCCACTGATGCAAGACTTACAGCTGCATGAGTTTGCTATGGCTTCAGCACGTTGGAGGTGCACATCAAAGCATGTGTGTTTTACATCTGACAGGCCCCCAACCCAGGATCTCCAGCCCTTACTGTGCACTTGTCAAAGACGATCAGCCTTCCTGCAGAAACACACCCTGCTTGGAGTTTTCTTAGTGTATGTGAGTAGAGAGGAAAGGGGATTAAGCCAATGTTAATGTGTCTTAAGACAATGTTTATGGTCTTCAAACTCTGTCACAAGCCGCCACGTCAGAGACTGTATTCATGACAATCACATGCACACACACACTACTTAGCTTATTTGACAAACACAAGAGCAGAGATAGCAGGATATACAAAGAGAGACTGACTGGATTTAGTTAGGAATGGAGGTGTGCGTGCCTTTACTTCTTGCACTGGGTGTTAAGGAGACGACAGGGTGAACTCTAGCTCTCGCCTATACGTGGAATGCAAACGTCGGCTGTCCCCATGGTAACGCCTGACCTGTGTTGCTATAGTTTCAAAACCATTGTTGACAAACGCTAGAATTAACCTAACCTCGCCACGTGCTGTAAAGGTACACTGATGATGTCACCTCTGACCAGGACAACACCCTCTCTGTATCACCCGCGCACAGATGCATTTTTGCCTTGTGGGGAATTATAGAGAACAGTGTCTCAAAAACCTTGAATGCACAATAAGCCTCTAGAATTTGACATTAACTAATATCAATGCAACTAATACTTATACTTTTAACTCTTTGAGTTGTCACTTTTTTATCTGCACTAAAATGAAGCTAAGGGTAAGTTCAATCTTGCACTCTCCCTCTCTCTCGTCTTGTAATTAGCTGACAACCGGTGTTTTCGGTCATATCCAGTGCCAGGTCGAGCTCATCAGACACCACTCCATATAACATCCAGATCTGCAGCATTCTCCTCTTCCCATCACCACTACCACCACCACCAGTGTCTAGACCCCTGGGGTTGGTCTCCTGTACTTCACACAGCCTCACCCCCTATGATGACATCACGATGGGGTCTACTTGCTAAAGACTCTCACATCTCTCACTTTTCTGCTCTTGTTTTGTACTAGGCAATAAAAGTTTATTCGTTGACTCAGAACAAAGTCTTTCCTGAATGAAATGACATGACCTCGAAAGTGTTTAACCTTAGCCAAATATTTTATTAAAGCGTTAGTCGAGTTTGTTTCCTCCTGACGAGTTTCTGTCTCATGAATGGAGGCCTTTGTCCACTATCCTTTAAATTTATAGCTCAGCCATCTCCTACCTCCTTTCTTTATGTGTACATTGGTACATTTGGGATGTGTGTGTTTCTGTACGGGAGAGTTCCTACATTTTCTGTTTATGTGTAAATTAGTTTTATGTGTTACCTCTAAGTTAGTCCATGTGGTGGCATTTGATAATGTGTGTGAGTCTTTTATGTTATTTCTTGTGAATGATGAGCACAACATGCGTTGAGATGGTGGATGTTTGACTTGGTTTATGTTATCAGTAAACCAATAAGTGTGGCTGAAGAGGTGAATCCAGGTTAAAAAAAATACAGAGAACTACAAAAAAACTACATATAGTACTTACATGTATGAGGCAATGCCTGCTCTGTACCTGAAGACTTACATCATGGCCCTGAATGAGTCTCTTGCTCCTCATACCACACTTACATGAGTGTCTATTATGATGAGCCATCTAGTACATCCCACCAATGATGGTCCATTCATTACAGGTCATTACTGCCTGATCTTTTATGGATGATAAGGCACTTCTCCAGGACCATGGCAGCAGAGAGGAATGATGACACTCTGACAACAGCTCTGCAAGCTGGCTGGCCTTGGAACAGCGCCAGTGTAATGACAACAAAGACAGTGATATTGATGAAAGTTTTTCCCTGACATCATCACTGATAACTGTCCCCTCATCAGTCACCTATCTTGGCATATAGTTCCATATGTATGTAAATCAATGCGGATATTAGAGGCAGCAGAAGGCAGATGAAGCAAGACGTGTGGGAGGGGAATGGGACTGACCCCTGCCTCTGAGAGAGATGAAATTTTCAGGTAATGATAATGACTACGAGAGAGGGTACATCTATCATCAAGGCCGGCCCAAGGCATAAGCAAACCAAGTGGCTGCTTAGGGCCCCTGTGGCCACCAGGGGGCCCCCAAGAGAGCTTGAAATGCCCCACGAGATCTTTATATACGTATTTCTTTAGCACTAGGACGCCAGCATTCTAGTACCCATAGACGCCACAGTGAACTGCCAGACCGCCATATATAATTACATTGTGTTACTGTACTTGGCTTGGAAACTGTTTTGTAGTTTTAATATTTATTTATTTATTTATTTGAAGGCTAAAACAGTAAGATAAATGTAGACCTAGTGAAGTAAAATAAAAGACATCACAACGTATAGAGAAGGATTGGTAACTATCCAATTGCCAATTAACATTTTTACATATTGTTATATTATACATTGATTTATTAAGTTCTGCTGCACGTCTTCTATCCAAATGGCCAGTTTTCTCCAGGCTACAGTGCTGCAATACAACGCTACAGATATGTATTGTAACACATTGCAGAAAAAAATGATCAACACAGATGTATGCCTTCCTATACTATGACTTTTTATGCCTTACTATACTATGACGTTTTTTAAGACTGACTATACTATGACGTTTTTATGCCTGACTAAACTAAGACTTTTTTTAAGACTTACTATACTCTGACGTTTTTATACCTGACTAAACTAAGATGT